ATTATACACATTCTGATTACAAAACACACTAACAGTTATTATTTCATTTAAAAAATAAACAATTTATGGTTCCCTTTCAGTCGGTCACTCTCGACGTCACGTCTGTGACTGATGAATTGGGATCTCGCTTAGAGAGACCAATACACTTCGAGTGTAAACTAAACAAGCCTATGCATATTGGCATGCGATGATTGCATCCAGCTGCCGCTGATCACAGCGTGAGCATAAAAAGGCAGCTGGTGCAAAGCATACCAGCTTTTTGTTTCGGAGCCGAGCGATCACATCGTTTTGCTTCTGACTACTCTACTGAGAGAAGAAGACTGAACAAGTTCAGCGTGCTTTTTGGAGCTCTTGGTGTTGGCGGAACGGCGCTTCAGCGGTGGTAGTTTCCTGTGTCGAGTGGGTTGCACACATCAGGCTGCAATACCCCCTGTTTGTGTTGCAGGCGGCCATCTCCCCTGTGCGCTTCAGCATGCTGAAAGAGCTTTTTCCCTAAAAGACGCTGTTGCGTCTGGCAGAATTGACGTTGCGTCTTTGTAAAGACGATGTTGCATCTTGCTACCGACAACATATCACCCATGCGTTTCTGGATGTGGTCATTACCTGGTGTCGGATGATGGTCACGATCGCTGCCTCACGTGTCTGGGCATTAAGCACGCTGAGGTGGCGTTCGTGGATGAGTCATGTTCTAATTGCTGACCATCAAGTTCTAAGAAGATGACCATCTCTGAGTTGCGGTCCAAGCTCCGTTACCTCAAAAGGGGCGGAGCTCCGTTGCCTCTGCCTCGATCTAGTTTTCATCATGGCGGCAGTCAGGCGGGGGCTACTTTAGGCAGTAGCACGGGTGGTCTGAGAGTAACAGTGATGGCAAACCCTCCAGGGATCCAACCCTCGGGGGACCATTGCTCCTCTTGCACTCCGCAACCAGTTGAGCTGCCAAAGGAACGTGTTAGGCCCTCTACAAGGAGTATACCAGCAGTATCCTTCGGCGCTCCTCCCGACGATCAGATGTCGATCGCTGCATCGGAGGGTGAGCCAATGCTTTCTGGAGAGGAAGATTCGGCTGTGCTGCTGTCCTCTGGGACTGTAGCAATGGCTGAATCGGATCCGAAAATGACGGCTATGCTTTACCCGGGCTGCCGTGAGCGTAGCCCTCAAGGTTGGACGATTGGTTCTTCGGGGTGGCCCGCACTGGTTCTCAGCGCCCCACCCTGTTGCCATTCTTCCCGGAGGTACATGAGGGGGCTTACCAGGTCATGGAAGGCACCTTTCTCTGCCGGAAACTGACCTGCTAGCTCCTCCTCCCTCACCACTCTCGATGGTGGTGCAGCTAGGGGGTATACGGGGGTCCCCCTGGTAGAGCGGTCGGTTGTGATGCAGTTGTGTCCTGATACCGCCTCCACCCAGCAGGGCAAACCGTGCCTTCTCTCCCGGTCGAGAATGTGGCCCAGCAGTTCTCGGCTGCACAGGAGCAGACTGAGGCAATCCGACATGTCCTGCCCCGGCGGGCAGCTGCTGCCTCCACCTGGCATCAGCGCCCCAGCCTGCTCATCGTTGAGGGTGGCCCCTTGCGTCCGCTCCCGCGCCGCATCCGCAGCAGCCTCGAGCAAGCAGCACCGTGGAGCTGGGCGTAGGCAGGCCGCGCCACCTGTCCAGGCCCCCGTCAAACCTGGCGGTGAGCGGAAGAGCAAGAGGCCCTGGGACAGGCGACCCATAGAGAGAGGGAACTGCTCTTTGGGGGATGGTAAATGAACCTCTCCCTCCCCCGGAGGAGGGCCGGGTGGAAAATCTGGTTTCCAAAAATCTTTTCTCGGTCTCTGGGTCCCAAGAAGGCATGGAGAGTCGCAGATGGACCAACACCGGACCACACTCATCCTCCTCTCTCGCCAGCAGGCAGCAGCGGGCGGTTCGAGAGCATCATCAAAGGCCCTACTCACGCACCCTCTGCCAAACCGTGGAACCAGGTAAGCCTTGCACCGCACACTCAGACCCCTCTTCCCTGCGTTCCACCTCGCTGCCCCACCGTGGGTACATCGGTGGTCCCGCTGGTCCAGTTTGTACAGTGTCTGGGTGCCTGGCTACCTGAACGTCTCGCTGGCTCTTGCGGACCATCAGACTCGGCTATGTGATTCAGTTTGCCCGGCGTCCCCCCAAGTTCAGCGACATCCGCTTCACATCAGTGAAGGCGGCCGATGCTTCTGTGTTGCGTGCAGAGATCACAGTCCTACTGGCGAAGGATGCGATAGAGCTGATCCCTTCAGCCGATATGAAGATGGGGTTTTACGGCCCCTACTTCATTGTACCCAAGAAAGGTGGTGGGTTATGACCGATCTGTCGCCCCGTATCTTCACGAAAGTTGCAGAAGCAGCCCTTGTTCCCCTGAGAGAGCAGGACATTCGCATTCTCAACTACCTCGACGACTGACCTGCCGCCAAACCTTCACCACGTGGTCAGACCTTGCATTTCTCCGGGCAGGAGTGCCCCTGGAACAGGTCTCCAAGCATGCTGTGGTTTACACGGATGCATCCACCACTCGCTGGGGGGTCACGTACAACAGACGCAGTGTCAGGGGTTTGGACGGGCCCCCAACTGCACTGGCACATCAACCACCTGGAATTGTTAGCAGTACGCCTTGCCTTGAACCATCTCAGAGGGCGCTTATGAGGCAAGTACGTGCTGGTCCGCACGGACAACACTGCAACCGTTGCGTACATCAACCGATAAGGTGGTCTATGCTCCCGTCGCATGTCGCAACTTGCCCACCACCTCCTCCTCTGGAGTCAGAAGCATCTGAGGTTGCTTCGTGCCATTTACATTCCGGGCCTGCACAACCGTGCAGCCGATGAGCTGTCACGAGCTGAGCTCCCCGGATAGTGGGGACTCCATCCCCATATTGGGAAAAAAAAATTCCCTAGTGAGCCTTCTCACCAGGTCAGGGAGGTCAGGGAGGACGAGGAGCAGGTCTTGCTTGTGGCGCCGTATTGGCCCACTCGGACCTGGTTCCCGGAACTAATGCTCCTCATGACAGCCCGTCCCTGGCAGATTCCTCTGAGGAAGGATCTACTGACTCATAAACGGGGCACCCTGTGGCATCCGCATCCAGACCTCTGGAAACTTCATGTCTGATCCCTGGAAGTGCCCCTGGAACAGGTCTCCAAGCATGCTGTGGTTTACACGGATGCATCCACCACTCGCTGGGGGGTCACGTACAACAGACGCAGTGTCAGGGGTTTGGACGGGCCCCCAACTGCACTGGCACATCAACCACCTGGAATTGTTAGCAGTACGCCTTGCCTTGAACCATCTCAGAGGGCGCTTATGAGGCAAGTACGTGCTGGTCCGCACGGACAACACTGCGACCGTTGCGTACATCAACCGATAAGGTGGTCTATGCTCCCGTCACATGTCGCAACTTGCCCACCACCTCCTCCTCTGGAGTCAGAAGCATCTGAGGTTGCTTCGTGCCATTTACATTCCGGGCCTGCACAACCGTGCAGCCGATGAGCTGTCACGAGCTGAGCTCCCCGGAGAGTGGAGACTCCATCCCCATATTGGGAAAAAAAAATTCCCTAGTGAGCCTTCTCACCAGGTCAGGGAGGTCAGGGAGGACGAGGAGCAGGTCTTGCTTGTGGCGCCGTATTGGCCCACTCGGACCTGGTTCCCGGAACTAATGCTCCTCATGACAGCCCGTCCCTGGCAGATTCCTCTGAGGAAGGATCTACTGACTCATAAACGGGGCACCCTGTGGCATCCGCATCCAGACCTCTGGAAACTTCATGTCTGATCCCTGGATGGGACGCGGAGGTTCTAGGTGACCTACCCCAGGAGGTAGTTGACTCCACTTCGGCAAGAGCACTGTCTACGAGACATGCTTCCCCTCGGAAGCCACTCGATGAATCCGTGAGAACCGGTAGAGGGTTGGGTTCCATATGTAGAGACCTAATTGGATCCCATATGTGTAAAGTCCACGGTATAGCCTCAGAGCCCGTGTTTCCCCAGCAGACTTCTGCCAAGAAGGTAGTTCCTCCATCCCCTCGGCAGCCAGACGCGGAGGAACGTCCGGTGCTAGGCCCTCACTCGATGAATCCATGAGAACTGTTAGGGGGCTGGGTTCCATATGTGTAAAGTCCATGGTATAGCCTCAGAGCCCATGTTTCCCCGGCAGACTTCTGCCATTTACAAGAGGGTTATAATCACCTCTAATCTTCCATATGCACCTAAACGGTTGTTCATATGTGCAAGTGCTTCCAAAACCTCCTTCGGGAAGGATGGGACGGGTATGTTTTCCCAGTGTTATCCAATCTCACTGAGTGGGTAGTGCTACTACAACAGTGACTGGTCTTCTTGTTGCGAGCCCTGGCCTACACCAAAAAGGGGCGCAGGAGGCTCGCACAGGACGCTGGAAGGGGCAGCATCCATGGCACTTTGGTAAGGATCCCAATTCGTCGGTCAGTGACGTGACGTAGAGAGTGACCGACTGAAAGGGAACGTCTCGGTTAAGTATGTAACCCTCGTTCCCTGAAGGAGTCACGTCCCGTCGCCACGGCTGCTGTACCACCGCTGAGCGGCCGGGTCACCGGCTCAGCACCTCAGCGGAAACCTGGTATGCATTTCACCGGCTGCCTTTTTATGCTCTCGCTGTGATCAGCGGCAGCTGGATGCAATCATCACATGCCAATGTGCATTGGCTCGTTTAGTTTACACTTGAAGTGGATTGGTCTTTCTAAGCGAGATCCCAATTCATCGGTCACCGACGTGACGTCTCCTTTCCCTCCTTCAGGGAACGAGGGTTACATGTGTAACCGAGACGTTCAGTAAGTCAAAAATTGCTCATTTCAGTAAGTGAGTCATCAGACTGATTTATTCAAAAGAACTGGTTCATAAGATTCATTCATTCATGATTCATCTGGTCAGGTTGTACATTTGTTGTTGCTGTTGTATTGAAAACGAATGTGTTGTTTCAGACTCTTAAGTGTATTTTAGAAACACTAGAAGCCAATGATAATGTGGGAGTGTGTGTGTTTCTGTGCGTAGTGTGCACTGAGCAGCACTTTGACACAGCATTAAGATGTTGCGAGTAATGTGTCATACTAGAGAAGCGTGTTAAGTGTCACGTGGGAGGACTCCCAACTGTTTCCTCCCTGCCGTCAGAGAGAGGGTGTTGATGTGGAGTGTGTAAGTGAATAACTGTGTGTTACCCAGGTCTCTGAGGGACTCTGTCATGTCCCTGTCACAATGATCCGAAAATACTCAGAGAATTGCGTGAATTATGTATGACACCTCTCTCTGTCTCTGCCTACTCTCTGCTGCACACACACAATGCCAGAGGGATTGCAGCCTTGAAGCACTTTCTCACTGTTATTTTATGCTACCAATTTCAATGGCCCCCTGTTGATTGGGGGCTGCATTACAATCAGAAAACATGCACCATTGTGGTTTCTGTATAACATAAAGATACAATAAGGAAGCCTGCCAGCATTTGTAAATATAGTACATTAACTTGCGTTAATGATTTTAAACAGCATTTTGCTTGAGCTTGAATTTGTTCTTTTTTTTTGTGAATTTAAAACATACAGTTTAACCAGCCTAGTCAGATTCATGAACAAATGACTCTTTAAACAGTTCTTTAAACAATGGTTCAAAAAGGCATAAAGATGAGTTTCCAATTTGAATATAATCTTTTTCTTAAATGTGTGTTTTATCAACACATTGATATATTAATACCCCACCCACCCACATTATCTATTATTTGTATTTATTTTACACATACATTAGTGTATCTTGGATAGTTTCTTGTATTGTATGTTTCCCATGATGATTTCTTTCGAAACCTGAAGTAAACAAGATAACTAGTCTGGCCCTGAGGCAGAAAATATGTTTTATTCATGCATTATATCAGTATGATCTGATAAAACCAACCCAGTAAATCCCAATGTCAAAAAAATGCCTTTCAGCCTTTCCTAGGAAAACATCCAAATACACAGATACTCACCAAGCTCAGGGACATTTTGAGCATCTATAGGTCAGATATTGAACACTTGGATTTACTGAATAAGATATGAAAGGTGCAATAAAAGAGTACTTGGAGTGGCACCTCCATTCAACCTAACCTCCACATCCTCTCCCTCTTCACAGCCTCATTTCCTAAACAGCTCAAATGAGTGCTCTCATTATTAACCTTTTATATAAAAGTGCAAATGACAATAATTGGTTTGAAGATACAAATAAAAACATGTAAGGATAATCCGGATCTGACATCCTCTCAGGTTCAGAAGAACCCTTCATCTGCCACTCATTTCCTGTTACTCAGGATGTGGGAAGATTAAACATACATGACTTATGAATGGAGTCTTACAGAAATGCTGAATTCATTGAAACTATTAATTTAATGGTTCCTTTGGCATTTTCAAGTGATACACACTTCTGCATTCAGCTATGGCATTAATTTCAGATGTCATCTAATGCGTAGCTGGCTTATATCATTCTTTTTTTAATAAACCAAGATTTTAGGTTAAGATTTATATGACTGTGTAAGGAAAGTACATGCTCCTGTAAATATATATATATATATATATAGTCAACATTTGAAGTGGATCAAAACCTTTCATCAAAGTTGTCCTAAAACCTAAAAGCATTCTTGTTTAACTTTTTTAGATCCACTTCAAATGCTGAAGCGCCGTCCGCCAACACAAAAGTTTCTAAGAGCACGCTGAACTCGTATTTCACTGAAGACACTGGTAGGAGCAGAACGATGTTGTCACTCGGCTCCGAAGCGAAAAGCTGGTATGTGCTCTAAATGTGTTGGCATAGCAACGTGATACTTCCGGTTTCCTTTTCCGCCAGTCCTACGAAGGCCGTCTCGTTTAATTCTAGGTTGAGGACACTTTGTATATGCATCCTACAGAGGATGCGACCTCCAGAGGATTCGACCTCCGGAGGGTGCAGCCTTCTAAATGAGCTATAGTGACCGACTGAAAGGGAACACACGTGATGAATGAAAACAAACTAAAAATCCATGATAACTAAGACAAACAGAACATAACTGTGACAATAATACAGTATTACATATAATTAGTTATAATTTTAAATATAATTATAATTATATAATATATATATATATATAATTGCTATAGTTTATTGACAGGTACTTTATACAGGTAATTTAAATGTTGCCACATGAAGCACTTTTATTACATTATATTACATTTGGTGTAAATATTCCATATAAACTGCATACATAGGCCTACAAAGTAAAAACAATGAAATAATAATAATTAAAAAATATATATAATAAAAAGCAGTAGCTAAACACTGTTGTTTAGTGGTCTATAACTATATTAGCTTCCACACCAACAGACAATAACATTCTGTTTATTATAAGTGTGAACTGCAGTTATATTATCTGCTTATTAGAAGTCGGGTGAATTTGGAATGTCAATGTTTTTATTACTCATTAACTGGGGGAAAAATCACTCTCAAAGTGATTCCAAGGATAACATTTCTTGGTGTCGTTATAGTTATAGCTGTGGTGTAGACATCCCAATTAGGACGATTATTAAAACGTATCTATAGTTATCGTTAAAGTTTTCATCCTTGTGAACAGGACTTATGAGTGCACTGATAGATGTCTAAATTCAGATCCTTCTAGGTGTGTTGATGCAGGCTGATTTCAAATTATTTGGATGTTGGAATGATGCTGTTATATGAAGCATAGATCATGTGGTGTGGAAATGAGATTCAGGGCTGCAGTGCAGCAGAGTTTAAAGCCTGCAAATGGGCCCTCATGAGGAGTGATTCTCATGTGAGATTACATACTGTGTAAAGTGATTAAGGGAAATGGATTCAGACGTGAGATGATTCAGAGATGATAGACACAAACTCTGTTGAGCAATACAGGTAATGCTCTTGTCCTGTTGAGATTGATTTTGTGAATGTGTGGGGCTCTAGAGATGCTAATAATGCATGTGTAAAAATAACAACATTGTAGGTATTTCAAAATTAACCTATTATGTTCCCTTTTATATAAAAACAAATATTTTCCTCTAACCTAATTAAAGCCCAGTAGACATATTATTGAAGTCAAATCCACATAGACCACACAGGCAGGACTTGATGCAGGAGTGAGATCACGGATCATAGAATATTTGCTTGTGGAAATTTATGGATATATTTATGCTTTATACCTGGGGGCTGTCACAGTGCACACTCACGAGGAACACGGGAACAAAGGAGCAAGGAGACACGGCGATAAAGTAACTCAAAAGGGTTTATTAACAAAGGCTGAAGATCACAGGCCTCGACACATTAGGATGACAGAATGACGTTTAACGACTGACAAAGGACAAGAACACTTTAAAGACACAGGAACTGATGAGGGGAAGACAAGGGACACCTGGAACTAATGACAATGAACATTGGAAACACCTGGGAACAATGAACTCAAAACACGAGACAGAGAAACTGGATAATGTTGCACATAGGGAGCCAAGACACACACAAAACCTGGCCCAGAGCCTGACAGGGGCAAGCAGAAGACATGTGCAATCTTTAATGGAATACTTTCAAAACACTGTGTTCATGAAAAGCAAAGTTCATACTCTGAATAATGATCATTATATCATAGCTGATATATGCAAACGTGAGTTTGACCGAATTTTTTGGTGTATGTCTTGTATGTACTACTGTTCAAAACTTTGGGGCTGGTAAGATTTGTAATGTTTTTGAACAAAGTCTCTCACGCTAACCAAGGCTGCATTTATTTGATAAGTAACTACATAAAAACTATAATATTGTGAAATATTATTATAATTTAAAATAACTGTTTCTAATATATTTTAAAATAAAATTTTCAACAGCCATTACTCCAGTCTTCAGTGTCAATGATCCTTCACACATTGTTGTAATATGCTGATTTATTGCTCAAGAAACGTTCATTAATATTATTGTGGAAAACTGACACAGTTCGTTAAGGGGTCTTTAAAGATTCTGCTTCACATTGTGCTGAAGAAACCCCTTTAACCGTAATAAAATCACTGTAATGTATGGTCTCTCATGGCTTATTGCTTAATTATAATCTGTTCTCATAAAAGTGCAAGTGTGAACGTGAACATTTTTAAGGATGCATGAACATTTTACCTCTCGCTGCACATGGAATTAAGGAACTCGTTATGGAGACATGAACCTATAGAATGAATTAAACATCATGCCTGGATCTCTCTCTCTCTCTCTCTCTCTCTGACCAGGACTTTGATGCACTGAAGTGCACTGCACATTTACTCTTGGCTTGAGCAAAATGTACAAGTAGGGGTTACTGAACAAAAGTGCATGTATCTCAAGATTTTGTGTTTTCTGTATCTTGCTTTTATTATCCATTGATCTCCCATCCTCTTTCGCTCTAATATTATCTCACCCTCATTTTTTCTTCACTGCTCTTTCTGCTCTTTACCTATGTTGTTGTCCTCTGAATCATGTTTAATTAATTATCGCCCTTCTGACGTAATGAACACAATGTTCTTCGATTCCTCTGTAGTGTTCCAGAGGTTATATGTGGATATGGACACAAAAACACTGTATTGTTTAAGACAGCTGATATTTAGATGAAAAGCTCAAATATGGTTAAAGGGTATATTAATACATTTTCAACCAGCTTTGTATTGTTACATTGTTGGTATAAGTAAATTAACATTGTGTATAATTTTTCTGTGACTGGACCAAGATAGCCCTGTTTATTTGTCAGCAAATGTCTGCAGGATGACACATTTTACGTACTATTTGCAAACTATTTTCTTCATTTGTAAC